GGGAGGGAGGGAGGGAGGGAGGGAGGGAGGCTGAATGAAACCCTGTGAATGACAGGGAGGCAGCTCGCTAGAAGTCCATCTACAGTGCTGCCCTTCAGCCGCCGATGGTCCTCAGTGATTGCCAACAGAACCTAAGGCTCCTTAGAGTAAAGCTTGGAATCATGGTCCGGTCCCAACAGAGGCTCAGCGAAGTGGAGCCCTATCCAAAGTCCCATCACAGCAGCGCCAGAGTTGAGGGCCACAGACGCCCAGGCTACAGCCAGATCCCACGAAGAGCAGGGAGCTAGTCGGCCCCTCGCCCTCTCTCGACTCCCTTGACTTGGGTCACGGGAGGAGGGCCAAGTCGGATGATGCTTTTCTTATCCTGCTGTAACTTCCTTTCTGGGAACCAGGAACCTGATTGTGGGCAAAGACAATAAAATTCATCCGAAGGGCTCCTCCTGCCCCCAGCCGGATGGGCATCACGTGGCCCCCAGTTTGCAGACCAGGAAAATTCCATCCCTTGCACACTTAGCCTCACACACCCATCTGCTCACTTAGCCTGGCACACCTAGCCTCCCTTACCATCTCCATTCGCCACCGCACGCTCCTGGCACACTCTTTACCCTCACCCTCAGCCTCTTCCAGCTCTCCTGCGACCTTTCCCTCACCGCCCCATTGACCACCGCAGACCTACCATGTCCCTAGAGCCACTGAAGTTCCAGGCGGTGGGCGAGGAGGAGGAGGAGGAGGAGGAGGAGGGGAGCTTAGACTCTGTGAAGGCACTGACAGCCAAGCTTCAGCTGCAGACCCGACGACCCTCATATCTGGAGTGGACCGCCAGGGTCCAGAACCCCACCTGGGGCAGAGTCCAAGTCAGACCTGAGCCGGGGAGACCTGGAGCCATCTGTGGCTTTGACTCCATGGATTCTGCGCTTGAATGGCTCAGAAGGGAGCTGGTGAGTCCACTGGGCTGGATAGACTTGCGCAGGGTCTTTGGGCCAGTCCCCTCTGTGGGGCCGGGAGGAGGTGAGAATGGACCACTCTCCAAAGCAATTCCTCAGTGCTGTGCTCTAGGACCGGGGAGCCAGGAATCCAGGGGTGCTTTATTTGTGAAGCCAACTCCGGATTAATAGACCCTATTAAATATATATATATATATATATATATATATATATATATATATACACACAATATGATTCATAACACTAGCAAAATTACAGTTCTGAAGTAACAACGAAAATAATTTCATGCTTGGGGGCCACCACAACGTGAGGAACTGTATTAAAGGGTTGCAGCATTAGGAAGGTTGAGAATCACTGCCGTAGAGAGAAGAGGTAGCCAAGGAAAAAGTAGACCCTGGCTTTGCTCTCGGGTAGACTCTTAGGAGGAGAGAGTTAAATATTAGCTGTGCTAATATGTAAGCATGTCCAGTTCAGCTCAGCGAGTCATCTTAGTTGATTTGTAATGGTGTACCAGATATCTATATTTGCATACGAATGGGTCCTTCGCCTGGTTTGGGAACCACCAATCCGGAACAAGATCTGAGAGACGGGGAAGGATGAAGTTAGGTGAGAAGCGGCTCTGTGAGCTGTTCTATGCAAAGAGTGTTCCCAGAAAGGGAACAATGCCTGGTGAGGCTGATCTGGCACGCTCATGCCCCCTATTGGTCACAGCAGGAGATGCGTGCTCAGGACCGGCAGCTGGCGGGGCAACTGCTGAGGCTGCGTGCCCAGCTGCACCGACTCAAAGTGGACCAAGCCTGTCACCTGCACCAGGAGCTGCTGGATGAGGCGGAGCTGGAGTTGGAGCTGGAGTCTGGGACTGGTCTGGCTCTGGCCCCGCCACTGCGGCATCTGGGACTCACCCGCATGAACATCAGTGCCAGGCGATTCACCCTCTGCTGAGGGCACTCGGGTGTCCCCTGGACTATCTGGGAAGAAGGAAGGAAGAGGTGCCCCAGGCTCCGGCTCCTGCAAGGGTGGGGGTGGGCGCGCACACAGGTTTCTGAAAGTTGAATTCAGAGAGCACAAAGCCCCAGAGTGAGGGGAAGAGAGGGAGTTCAGGCCGCAAATATGTTAATTAAAAAACCGCTGCATCCCACCAAAGTTTCTGCAGTCCCTCACTGAAGCTGAGGGTGGTTGTTGCCTGTCTACCACATGACACTGGGACTGGGGACTCCACAACAGGAGACAAGACTGCTGAAGGTGGATGGCACCCAGTCTCCCCAACATCTCCAGATCTATTTCTCCACCTTATCAAATCAGAAGGGAGGGTTAAATAAAGATTTATTGTATTTTGTTTGTTTTGTGTGTGAGCATGCCGGGAGAAGAGGTTATTGGATGAGCTGGAGCTGGAGTTATAGGCTGTCGTGAGCTGCCTGAAGTGGGTGCTGGTGAAGGAACCGGCTTCCCTTTTGGCAGCCATAACAGCCGAACACGTGCTTGCCATAAACCTGCCTTGGTCACTTAGAGGTCAGATGCCTGTCTCGTGACAAGGAACCTTAGTCACTAAAAGGTCAGATGCCTGTCTTGTGACAAGGAACCAATCAGAAGTTAGCTGGTGGCGCTATGCTTTACGACCCTGGGTGTGCTTTACGGACAAGCGCACGACAATGACGTAGAGAGCATAGCAACCACCCTGGGAGGGCCTATGAGCCATAACAACCAGTTGACCAATCAACACAGGGCAAGCCCTCCAAGCCTGGAGGCACACCAATCGTAAGCCTGTGCGTACCCCTAGACACTCCCCTTACGCTGCCCTATAAGATCTTTGGGGAGACCTTAGGAGCTGTCTTTTTTCTAGCTGTCCGCCATGGCGGGTGGGTGAAAGACCCGAGCTAACATGGGGTTAGTTCGTTAAATTACAATAAAGCCTCGTGCAGTTTGCAGCAAGCTCTCGAATCCGCCTGGTGATTGGGGTGACCGCGAACCTGGCCTGAGACCCCGATACTTGAGTTTTCGGGGGTCTAACACTGGCAACAAACTCAGGTCCTCTGCAAGAGCAAGTGCTCTTGACTATTGAGCCCCTTACCTCTCCAGCCCCTAAACTTAAAATCTTATGTCTCTTTTTTTTTTTGGTTTTTCCAGACAGGGTTTCTCTGTGGCTTTGGAGGCTGTCCTGGCACCCGCTCTTGTAGACCAGGCTGGTCTTGCACTCACAGAGATCTGCCTGCCTCTGCCTCCCCAGTGCTGGGATTAAAGGCATGCGCCACCATCTGGCTCTTATGTCTCTTTCATGGCAGGTGATTTAGGTAAATTTAGGGCTAGGAGGATGAAGAATCTGACAGTTCTCTGTTCAAAACCAACTCCCCTATTTCTCTCTCTCTCTCTCTCTCTCTCTCTCTCTCTCTCTCTCTCTCTCTTTTGTATTTCGAGACAGGGTTTCTCTGTGTAGCTTTGGAGCTTATCCTGGCACTTGCTCTGGAGACCAGGCTGGCCTCGAACTCACAGAGATCCGCCTGCCTCTGCCTCCCGAGTGCTGAGATTAAAAGCTTGCGCCACCAACTCCCCGCTTCAACTCCACTATTTCTATTAGAGGATGGGGAGACCACGCCAGCATGAAGGCATAGGCCCTTAATCCCAGCACCCATGAGGCAGAGACAGGCAGATCTCTACGAGTTTGAGGCCAGCCTAATCTATTTAGTGAGTTCCAGGCCAGCCAGGGCTAGAGCTAGAGACCGTGTTTTAAAAATCTCAAAAGAGCTGGGTGGTGGTGGCGCAGGCCTTTAATACTAGCACTCTAGAGGCAGGAGGATCTCTGAGTTTGAGGCCAGCCTCCTCTGTAGAGCAAGTCCCAGGACAGCTAGAGTTACACAGAGAAACTCTGTCTCAAAAAACAAAACAACAAACAAACAAAAAATCTAAAACTGGATAGAAACAAGCTGCTAATTCTCACAGGCAGCTAGATAGGCCTTACTTTAGCGTGCCCATGCGCCATCTCTCAGTGACATCCTCCAGGCATGAGCTGAAGCTGAAGTGAGCTGTGAAGCACTATGGTTCCTAAGTGAGGGGAGCTGAGCCCTGCACCAGGTCCGGGCTCTGTCACCGAGGAGGGTTTTTGTTTTCTGCATGTCTCTCAGCCTTTGTTTCTGTGTTACTCTCTTTGTCTGACTTTCCAACTCAGGCTTCCTCCCCCCTCATTTCCTGTCCCCCCTTCCCTCTGCAGCTGAGGTACACAGAGCTTCAGCTTCCACCTCACAAACCCCAACAATGCTCTGTGGGCTCCCCTCCCCCACCCGCTCACTCAGCATAGCTCAGGAGGTGACACATTTACACTTTCCTTCCAGTGAGGTCAGGACCCATTCTCAGGCCCGATAGGGGCCATTCGAGGTTCCTCACATCACTGGTGACCTGGTCCTCTGCCTACGATGGGTACCATCCTTATTTTTGACCTGCCTGCTGCTTGTTGCAAAACATCTTACCTCCTGCTGATACCAGAATGTCTGCGGCCTGCCACAGCTGCATGGGCAGTATGCTTGCTCTGTCCTCTACCTGTGGCAGGCTGTGCGGTCCATTAGGGGTGTGGCCTTGTCTCCACTTGAATTATCATTTTAGGCCATGTGGTCCTGCCCTCTGCCTGTTACTATATTCTTCAGTTAATCATCTATCTATCTATCTATCTATCTATCATCTATCAATCTAGATATTGACACAGGGTTTCTTTATGTAGCCCCTGGCTGTCCAGGAACTCCCTGTGTAGACTTGTATGGCCTGGAACTCACAGAGATCTGCCTGCATCTGCCTCTCAAATGCTGGGATCAAAGCTGTGGGCCACCACACCCTAGCCTGTCACTATAGTCTTAAGGACATGGGGTTTTCCTGTATTCCTCCTAAAACAGGCTGTCAACACTGGACTGTAAGAGGCCTGACCCATGACTGTTGTTCTGTGCCCCAAGATGACATGGTCTATGCTCTGTCAGTGACTGTGGTTGCTGTTTACTAAATTACATGCAACCTTGTCACCAACCATTTAACAGAGCTATTGTCTAGGCTTCAACTCTGAACAGAAGAGATGCCTTCTGCTGGCAGATTAAATTAAAGGCCGCCTACCTAGTCCTAGCATGACTGTAGTGCCATGTTCCTTTGTTGTAAACCCAACTTGTAGCTGCTGGCCTCTGCTCATGGAGGCGAAGGCTCCCTTCGGATCTCCTACCCAGGTGCATCTTGGAGGGCATGAAGGCGGCTTCATCAAGCATCCTTTCTTATCAGGTATAACGGCCCACTCCTTTGCACTGGGGAGGCAGAGGCAGGCAGATCTTTGTGAATTCAACATCACACTAGTCTGGTCTACATAGCAAGTTCCAGGCTAGTCAGGGTTACACAGTGAGACCCTGAATTAAAAAAAAAAAAAAAAAAAAAATCCTGCACAGCTGACCCAAGGTCATGGGAGCTCACTTATAGCTGCGGGGTCCTGCATGGGACCTAACTAGGCAACAGTTGTGTAGCTTGGTCTTTTTGAGAGGTCCCTGACAGTGGGACCAGGATCTATCCCTGGTGCATGAGCTGACTTTTTGGAGCCCATTCTCTATGGTGGGCTTGCTCAACCTTGATGCAGGGGGGAGGGGTTTGGTCCTCCTCAACTTAATGTGCCCCATGGGAGGCCTTACCCTTTCGGAGGAGTGGGTCGGGGGATGGGTTGTGGGGGGTAGGTGGTGGGAGCAGGAGGAGGGGAGGAAGGGGAAACTGTGGTTGGTTTGTAAAATGAATAAAAAATTAAAAAAATTTTCCTCCTTGGTTTATTGTTATTATTATTATTATTAATTATTATTATTATTTTGTTGTTTTGAGACAGGGACTCGTGTGATTCAGGCTGGCCTGAAACTCTGGGTGTAGCCAATACTGCCCCACCTCCAGAGTGCTAGGATTATAGACCCTTGCCATGGCACATGGATCTCCCCGCAACTTTCCCCCTCTAAGTGCCACCCTCAGTATGAGTAGGGGCTGGCCTAGAGATGTTTGGGACCCCAAGAGGCTGAAGGCGCTATGGCGGCAGGAAGCTTGAGGTGCTAGAGGCTTGTGGTTGGGTTGCTGGGGCTGGGTTGGCTGGGGAGCCCTCAGGAGGCAGGAAGTCAGGGTGGAACGTGGGCGCAAGGAGACAGGTGGTGACTACGAAGGCAAGGGGAGCCGAGACTGGGTCCAGGCAGTCAAGCCAGGCCAGGAGCATCATGTGAACGGGCCAGAAGGCTCCCAGGCTGGGCAGGTAAGGGGTGCTGGGAACAACAGTCAGGGGCTATGGTGGGAGCCAGACAGCAGAGGATTGATTGCATCTGTGTGGAGGGCCAGGCTCTCTAGCTGTGCTGCAGACTTTCTGAAATGCCTTCCTGGAGATGGGCTAGGTGGGTAGATCTCACCTCTGCTGTTCTGTTGGCCATCGTTCCCACCTCACTAGAAGCATACTCCTTGGAGATCTAGGGCACGGTGTCAAGTACCAAGGAGGCCACCAGCAGTCACCTGACCAGTTCCTCGTCCTCATAGGATAAGGTTTCTGAGGTCTGAAGGTGGTCACGCATCACTTAATACATTCTTCCTCAAGACGGGCAGTGGTAGAGCAGGGCCTTGTGAGAGAGTGATGGCTTGGGCTGGGCTCCTCCTGCCTCTGTGATAGACAGGGTGACAAGATGGACAGTCTTGAGTGCAGGCCCTAGGAATCAATCCTTTGGTTCCCCCGGGGCAGACCTGAGTTGCAAAAACTCACGAAGAAGTCACACACGGCACCCAGATGGGCCATGAGAACTAACTTAGCTTTAGTAGCCAGCATCCTGAAAGACAGACTTGTCTCCAGGGAACCGGGTGGACATGTGAGGAAGGCTTATCCAGGACGGATGTGTCTTCCCGGGGAAAGTTGGTAGTGAATGAGAATGATGGGAGAAGGGAAAAGGAAGGACTATTTTTATCCCAGACGGGGTACAGCTGGCTCAGGGCAAGAACTTCTGGACTTCCACCTGGAAAGCCACTGTTCCTGTCCTGCCAAATGTCAGCACGGATGTCCTCGCCTTTGCCCTTGTCCCCTCCTGCCTCACCTCAGCTGTATTTGTGTGTACATGTTTGTCTTCATGATTCCTGCTTCAGATTCTGAAGGGTAGCGTCCCAGAGACTTGTCCCCAGATGCCTCCCAGCACCTGGCATTCTAACTCTAAACTTTGGGGGACAGTCTCCACTTCAGTTGACTTTCCAGGTTTCCTCGCTAGAGATGTTCGTGTAACCCGTTTTCCATCTTGTCAGCATATGCCAGCCTTCTCCAAGGCCTCTCAATTCCTACAGGGGCAGGAAACACACAGGCTCTTCCTGTGTCTCAACTGTGCTTGAACAGGCAACAACAGCAGTCCCCTTGGCCAGTCCTGTGCTGACTGACAGAGGAATCCCACAGAGTTCCTAGTCCTTGG